AACAAGTGATGCACAGTGTAATTGTTCACCAGCCGGTGACCAATGCCTGTCCCATCCTGGCAAACGATCCTGAAACAGATAAGTCCTGACACCAGAATCCTAGACAAGTGAGAGGCCTGAAAAGAGAGAGAGAGGTAGAGCTCCAGGAGTCCAAGAGAACGCTCAGAAGAGAATTCCAAACTTCCCAGTCAACCCTTATCTATATGCTGGACATGACACTGCATGATATGGAATACTCCATTGGCCAATTTGGCCCTCAATCCTAAGAAGTCAAAGTCCAAACCATAAGAAGAGTTGTGGGCCCTTTGTCCCAGCCATGCTCGCTCCCAGCCTGTTGTGCTCCTGCACTCTGGCAAGAACATGGCAGCTGAAAAGTCCTTGAGGTCTCAGTGCCAACTGTAAACATCAGTGCGCTATCAGCATTCTTCTCATAAGGAGTCCCAGACTAAAACCAAAACACAGAGCTCTCCTAGCTGCTAAAAAGAAAAGCTTAACTCTGCCAGTCAAAACCAAGACAAGGTCTCAAAGATTACCTCACCTTATGACCATTCATATTATGTATGGTAACTATATTTGCTACAATATATTGGTTTAGAAGGTCTTAAATCTTTTTCAGTTGTTAGTAGATGTATATCTATGAAGAGGAATGGGCTATATTTTGTTAGTAAAGCAGCGAGTGCTGTAGAGAGGCATTCTGGTTGTTCCGTTGTGATTGCCTTCTAAATAGATTAGCATGAGTAAGTGAGATGAGATATTAAAAAAAATTAAGTTGTTGTTATTCACCAGCAAAGTACCTACCCTCAGACTACACCATAAAGCTATAACAATATAAAATGCAGTGCTAAGAAAGGCCATTGGGCCGCAGTGAATGTAGTCTGTGTCCTGCTAAAATCTGCACCACCACAGGCTTACTTTTCACTGGTTCCAGGTCTGTTAATGTTGTTGCTGAACAAAAGCCGGGGTCCCCAACCCTATGTGCTGGTACAAAGTAGCCTGTGAACTGGCATATTATATTAGTGGCACCGAGAATGTTCACACTAACCATATCTATACACTTTAATGGTTCCTGTGAAATTAAAACCACATTACAACATCAAGCGCTAATATGTCCTTTATTTTCTGTTGTTTCTTGAATGTTAGCAGCTGTTACAGAGCAAGAAGCATTTGGAGACTGACAGAAGTTCAAATTATCAAGCAGGCAGCACATTCCTTGATGCAAGTTTTGAGTACTTTCTCCTTCCTTGAAAATTCGTATTTGTGCACATGGGTTAGACATTTCGCTTGTGCTCTGAGCACGTAAATACCGACTGGGTGTACATGTTGTAGCAAATAGGGAAGCAGAAGCTTCCCAGTCAAAGATGTATCTGTGCACTACACCTTGAAAATTTGACCACTTCGGAAAAGAGTTTGTCAACAGGTCGAATCTCAAGCTCCCTGCAGGACCAGGTTCACTCGACAGGTGTGCCTTGACTTGAACATGGGCACCTGTGGAAATTTGACCCAAGCATTTCTTTGAGATGTACAACATTGTTACTTAGCTAAAGGCTTGGGAAATCAAGTTCTTTGAGAGCAAGAAGAGAAAAAAGGATTAAGAGAGGAAATAAACGTGACCACCATTCTTACATTTTAAGTAGCTGTAGATACCTGTATCTTCCAGTTAGATTTTCCTCCCTCAGTGCCATAAATGTATGGCTGGCAGTATGCAATCCCATATTTATTATTTCTTAGCTTTTATTTCATGTATGTCCAAGTGCTTAGTGAATAATGTTGGTACCAGCATCAGGGATCTATGTTTTGTGTTTAATTTTGATTGTTCTTTTCTTTCTTTCAAATTCAGTCTGATATTTAAGAAGGGAGATTTCTCTTCCCTTTTCAGTTTTTCAGACTTTACCACCGTTAACAAAAGTGTTGGCAGCAAAATTTGGTCCTCGGTGATATTTACATAGCTTCTTTCTTTCAAAGCATGTTTTAGTGAGACCTGGGCAAAGTCATTTCCCCTCAGAGGGTTTGCTCAGGTGAGACTGATTGGAGTTTAATGAATAGCTTAACTCAGGATGCAGAGAGGTGACTGCAGCCTGCTGACTGTTCCTCTTCACTGTATTTTCCTTGTGGTGCTAACTGCAGTAGAAGTCAATCCAGCATTGAGCCTCATTCTCCATTCAGTTAGATCAGGTTTACTCTGTAGTAACTCCACTGAAACCACCAACGTTATTCCAGACTTACTCCAAGAGTGAATGAAAGGAGGATCAGTTTACTCCTATTTTTTCCCCTGACTCTGGATAAATACCAGAAAGGTATTTGCTGAGTTAAGTGGTGCTCTTTTTGAATAGTCACAATTTGACTTCTGAATTACCAACAACTTCTGTTTTGGTAATGTTCTTGATTTCATGAGGTCGAATAAAAATAATAGGTACTAATACTCTTTTTACCTGATCATATTTTGTATTCCCTATATATTTAGAAATATAAGCAGTTAAAATGATAACTCTAGAGCAATTGTTTCAGAAGTATCTATTAAAAAAAACAACTCATTATGGGAATTGCCACAGAAATAATTGCCATAAAAACATCTTAATGCCGCTAGCAAGCTGTAGGTATTCCCCCTGTGAAACAAGTAATAAGTCTTCCCATACATTTAATATGGGTAGCTTTAATGAGTTTCAACTGGTGCCATTTGGTGGTTCCTAGAGAACACATAATAAAGTCTTAGGTCAAAGGACCCCAGTTTATCTCTTATTTCAGCACAGCTAGGTCTCTGGCATAAAGCAGATTGACTCCACAGAACAAATTCACTCACAAATATATGGTCCAAAACAATATATTGTACATGTGGTAAAAAGCCATTTGCAGTTTACTGCCATTTGTGATTGCATGAGACTATAAAAGTTCAAGGCTGTTGTAGATTGGGTGTACAGGCTTTCCCTGTGTAGTCTGTTGTCCTGCTGGAATTGCCCATTCTGCTACCCGTGTGCAAAGGGAAGGATATTCCCATTGGCAATTTAAGGTTCCTTATCAGAAAGAAAATCAGCCACTTTTAGAGACAAACATACTTGGTGGCACTAACTGGAAGCGAATGACAAAACACTCACAAGCTAATAGCACCAACAGGTTCAGAAATAACTTATGCTGTTTGTTTCTGGTTTTCTTCAGGAGGAAGAAACACACAAAGGAAATCTTCAAAGGTGAGTAAAATTTACAGTGAAAAAAACCAGCAAATATTCAGCTGCCAGAACTGTAGCTCTCTGGCACCCAAACCACAGAGCTGAGGCATAGCCATGCTGCCTCCTAAGCAGCCTGCGAGCTAGATTAATGGATTTACCCAAGGATTAATTTGTCTCAATATGCTTCTGTTCTACCCTGATTAACTTGGGCTACATTCAGCTGTGCTGCACAAAGATTAAACTGTATGAACATGAATGAAGCTGCAGCTTACACTGAAGGTTACACCTACCTTAGCAAGTAGAGCAGACCTGTAGACATTGAGATATAGAGGAAAACAATTGGTATTGAGGACCTGACAGGCCCCTGCATGTCAGGGATATTCTGCTTTGGACTAGTTCTGGTCTAATCCCATGGCTTGAATACCCACCTAACCCTAGAGTGCATTAGTTGTGCTTCTGGAGAGCATCTTCCAACTCACTTTTATGCCAAAGGAACCCATGCTCTCTGAGATTGCCCTCTGATGCAAACCAGAGCATCTGAATAGGACATCCACTTCAAAACTGCACTCCTGCTATCACCTAACTCCCTAACATAGATGCACCATAACTGCAGCTGGTGCTCTTGACTAAAACCTCACAGTGTGATTTTACTGCAACCCCTGGATCATCGATATATAAAACTCACTGCTTGCTGAATCCTCACCCAACTCGAGTTACCTCATTGAGCGACCCTGATAACTACACTAGTTTGCATTCTTAAGTAGTCCAATTCAGAAAGCTTCTTTCGTTGTTTGATGTTTCTTCAAGCAAAGCAGTAGGACACCTCAGCTGTATGCTTGTGATCTATATGAACTAGCGAAGGGTGGGAAAGCCAAGCATCCAGCATTATCACACAGCGATTCCCTTTGGTTGAATTACAGCAGGAGCTCAACTCACCAAGCCAGTTCAATGTAACAGTATCTCGGCTGGATGTCCCACATCGCTACGCACCACCTGTGCAGCCTGGGCAGCCTCAGGAGTGGAGGTGGACTTGCTGATTTCCCAGCACGTCAGAAATACTCCACACTCACTTTGAAAAGTGTGCCTCATGTTGTTGCAAAGACATTTTCTGTGAATGGTCTATTTGTGAAATTCATCCTACTGCTTCGTATTTCAGACATTTGCCAAGCAGTAATCCATGAGAAAGCAGTAAATTAAGAGCCATTAATAATCCCTTTGGTACTTTTAATGACACATCAGGAATGCTTGCATTTCACAGCTATTTTAAAAATAATAAAAGGGAACTTTAATGAAAGAGAGGGCTAAAGTGGTTTCATACATCGTTCATAGTCGTTCTGTGAGATTTTCCAAGCCTATGAGTGACATTCGTATGTTCCATCTCTCCAGGGCGATGTCCGTTTCTTCTATGTCAGAATTTCAGCGCCTGATGGATATTTCTCCATTTCTACCAGAAAAAAATTTGCCTTCATCCAGCAGCAAAGATGACATAACCCCTCCCCTGTCTCCTGATGATCTGAAATACATCGAGGAGTTCAACAAAAATTGGGATTACAGTACCACTAGGAACCATGGTGGGGCCACTGAGAAGCCTGCTGAAGGCTGGGCAGAAAGGACAGAAATGGGGAAAGCTGGGAGCGATCCTGCTTCAGATCCCTTCCAGGCATCATCATGGTACCTTACCACCAGTGTCACTATGACAACTAACACCATGACCAGCCCAGAGCACTGTCAGAAGCAGCCAACAAGGAGTCATGGCGTAACCGAAAAAATGGGAGTTCGGGTCTTTCACAGCCCTCCCGTTGTCCGTAGGTTTGATAACTCGGTGATAGCTGGCAGCGAAGGGAAAAAACAGGTTGAGCCGGACTTCCTGTTTTCTGTGACCAAAGCTATGGGGAATGTCGCTGAAACAAAAGGTGCTTCCTCGGATATGTTTGGAAGATGGTCTTGTGACCTGGCCAAACATCATAAGGATTTTCTGGATAGTGGTCTTCATCCCATTGAACGTCCTATTTGCACTACTGTGGGCTTTGCCTCCCCCTTGCACAGCCTGGAGATGTCGAAAAACATGAGCGATGATATGAAGGAGGTCGCTTTCTCTGTCCGAAACGCAATACGCTCTAACTCTAATTCAACGGAGCCTCAGTTTAAGGACACCGCGTGTCAAACCAACGGTATGAGAACGACGGGGACGCAGACCACCCAGACGATCAGTGTTGGCTTGCAGACGGAAACCCTGCGCAATATCACCAGCAGTCCACACAAGTGTCTGACGCCAAAGGGGGGGTCCACACCTGTCTCTTCACCATCCAGAAGCCTAAGAAGCAGACAAGTGACTCCTGTCATTGAAAAGGTCCAGGCTAAGTTTGAACGCACATGCTGCTCCCCCAAATATGGTTCTCCAAAGTTGCAAAGAAAAATCCTTCCCAAATCAGACCAGCCAAATAACCGGACTTTGCCTGGCACACCTCAGAAAGGATTCAGTGAATCCGCTTGGGCTAGATCAACTACTACAAGGGAGAGTCCTGTCCACACCACCATCAACGATGGCCTCTCCAGTTTGTTCAACATTATTGACCATAGCCCCATCTTTCATGAGACCCTCCAAAAATGCCCCAGGTCTAGCAGTCGGTCCAGGTCAGCAGAACCCAGACCAGAACTGGGCCCAGTGCAGGAGCCATCTACAAATGCCCGCGGCAGATCACCCAGTCCTCTCCGGTTGGGGACAGAGATGCAAAAGGAAGAAGGGACTGAGGTGACAAGTATCAGGCAGGACTTATCTGCTCCTCCAGGGTATACACTTACAGAAAATGCTGCCAGGATCTTGAATAAGAAACTTTTGGAGCATGCCTTAAAGGAAGAGAGAAGGCTACCTTCACACAGCCCACCAAATCTTAGCAATGACAACAGCACAGGAGAAATTGTCAAAGTAGATCCAGGGTCCATAGAGGTAATGAGTTTGTTTGTTTTTCCTCCTATAGCTAAGTGCACTCTTCTTTGAACGAATGCATTATGAGATCTCTTGCAGTCCTAGTGAGTATGTACAATGAATATCCTAGTCCTGTCATGGTACCACCAGTGAGTCCCAGTCATGAAACTATGGGATTAGTCACTGAAGAACTCGTTAAAGAATTGATTTTCTATCCTGACAGCTTATCAGGCTCGAAAGCCTCGGAGGAGCTTTATCCTTTACAGGATAAAGATGCCTTTACGGGATAAAAGTGGTTCTCTCCTGAATGACTGAGATAAGGGTTTTCTGTCAGAAAACACATGACACGTTACAGATGCTCTCGGGACTCTAGGTTTGAGTAAATTTCTCTTTTATGCTGATTGGAAAGGTAGACTCTTTTTCCTATGCAAGAATGGGTGTTAACAAGCTTGTGTGAAAAATAGCCTCTGCAGTACCCTGAACCAGAACTTCAGGGCCTTCAGCATACCTTTTCTGAACGTATTTCATTAAGTTTGGCTTGGGTCTGTGAATGTGATTAAATGGCATGACATTTGGTACTGATTGTTGCAGCCTTACAAAAAAAAAAGAAAAGGAAAAAAAAAAGATAATCGACTAGTCTAAGCACATACATACTTAGTGTTTAAGAACTCTTTAGATATTTTGCCGTCAACAGCGTAACACTCATCATCTGTCTCAGCAGGTGTGCCCAACTGTTGGGGTCAGATTCTCAGGTACAGTAACATGCTACAGCAATCAACAAAAAAGAGGGTGTAATGATGGACAAAAACTTCCAGTTATCAGTGTCTAAGCCTCCTGGTTCTGGTGAATCTTTGTGCACAGGAGAGTGTTGCCCTGAGGAGACCTGGAGAAGCTGAATTATGCCCAGCACATGTCATTTTTCTGTTATAGCACTGAAGTGGCATGTGCCCTCCTCATCAGTGATACTCCCCAGAGCAGGAGCCCCTCATCTTCTCTGCCCCTTTCCTTTAGCATCCTCATGTTGCAATGGGCTCCAGCCACAGGGCAGCTGCTCCTCCTTGACCCCTACACACTCCAGATTTCCTACCTGGGCCTAACTAGGCTCACTCATACCACTTCTGCCTCAGATAGCCTCAAGGGAAGGTTCAAATCCCGTTTTCTAGGTGAACATTTGGTTTAAAGGATCGTGGGAACCTGAGTGCTGAGACTTTTGGTCTGCAGTTTGCCTTGCACTAGCAACTGCTTCCCAACAGACAATTGGTTCCTCTTTTGTAGGTACTGCTCAGAGGATATGATCTTTTTTGCCTAAAAGAGGATCCAAAGCTGAGGATATATTCCTTTTATGCAGTTTAAACAGATATGAATAGTGAAGTTTGTACATATAAAAAAGAAACCACATGCACCTTATAAATAACAGTGAATGAAAGTCGGCTTTCCGGACAAACTTCCAAGTGAACAAAAGTGGAAAGCAGCCTCATTTATTTGACTCTCCCTAGCTATCTTTGTATTTTGTCGTTAGTTCAAATTACTGGGAATGCACTACCGGTTCCTGTTTGAAAGCGTGTTGCACTTTTACAGGTTCAAGTCAGCTTTGCCTTCAAGGCATCCCCGGAAACTCTTCATTTCCTCCTGCATCTTTGAAATGTCTCAGCAGATTTCAAGTATAAGTAAGCAGATGTCATCCCACATCATCACAAATTGGTTCTGGCAAAATACAACTAGCGTCAGTACCTGAGTTTGATGCACAGAGAGGTTTGTGTCAGTGCTGTTTAGCAAAAACCCATTGACCATCAACCTGGCAGAAAATTGCTCCTCTTTGTGAATTCACGGTATCTTTTGCTAATTTTTTGAGTTCCGAGCCTCAGAGTTAAGACTTGGTTTTCCTTGCAACTCTTTACTCAGTTGTTATGGCTGTTGTCTAGATGTACAGATTATGATCTTTGAGTGGTCCTGTCATTTCTCAGGAATGTGCATTGAAAAGGAAGGTGGTGGGCATTCACATGATGAGCTTAGCTTTTCTTAAGGGAGGTGATGCTCTACAAGATGTACTTAATGGAGCACAGGTTCACTGCTGAAAACAAAACCACAAATAAGTTTCAACTATGCAGATGCCTTGGGTTATTTATGGATTACACTGACCACACAAAGTACACTTTGTACAAATTCCACTTAGCACATTTTGTACAAAGCCAGATGCAGCAGTTCAGCGAATGGTGATCTTGGAGGAGGCAGGCTTCGCTTGGGGCAGCGTCATGTCCGCACTGCCCCTACCACCCTCCTGTAGATACCTGCTCTGCTTCTCTCTCTGTTGGTTTCTGGCCAAGACAAGTGACCTTCTTACCACCAAACGCCTTCTTGTTTCTGTAGCCAGGCAATGGTATATTAATGCCTTTTAGGCTTGCATAGAGCACCTGTTGGTGGCTTTTCTTTAATTTGAGTTTCTGAGTGGTTTAGTTATGTAATT